GCTGCTGGAACCAGACGCGCCTGGCCTGGGCCTAGGGAGGGGTCTGGGAGCGCTGGGCTCTGGACCGACCCTGCTGGACTTGGCTGTAACTTTCTGTTCTCTGTGGTAACTACAGACTGTCTGCGCTGGGTCCAGACGCCCACTGACCCCCGGCTCTCCCACGCTGGCCGAGCGTCACTGCAGTCAGGAACTGGGGGTGCAGGACTCCCTCTGGGGGTGCAGCCTCCCGCAGGCGTCTGGCTCCAGGACGCCCTGAGGGGAGCTCACGGCGAGGAGCAGGCGGGCTGAAGGCTCCGAGGATGGGTCCCAGGAGGCAGGGGGGGTTTCCCGTTAGTGAAAGAGGGAGCCCCTGAGGGGGCTGAGACACAGGGGTTCTCCCAGGGACGGTTCCGGAGTTGGGCGAGAGCACCGGGCCTGGGGATCTGTGACACCCCCGCACCCCATAGCCCAGTGGTCCCCAGACTGTGGGGCACGCCCCTCTGGGGGGCATGGAGGAACATAGGGGGGGCGCACAGCAGGGCCCAGGCCAGCCCCCATGGGGGTGGGGGGGCAGGAGGGAGCCCCACCCAGCCCAGCTCCGGCGCTGGCCCCAGCTCCACTCCGCCCCCCATCCCAGCCCCACCGTTAGTCCCAGCGCCTCCCCCATCTCCAGTTCTGCCCCCAGCTCCGCCGTCAGCCCAAGCTCCACTGCTGAGCTGCCTGCAGCAATGGGGGGGGACCAGATTCCATTACTGGTAAGGGGGGGATGATGGCAAAAGTTTGGGTACCATGGCCAGAGCCAGACGTCCCTGCACCCCCCGGTCAGAGCCCCCCCTGCACCCCACAGCCAGAGACCCCCCATAGCCAGAACAACGCTCCACAGCCAGAGACCCTCACACACCCCATAGCCAGAGAAACTCCCCCCATAGCGACTCCCCCCTGCGCACTGCATTGGCAGAGCCCCCCTGCCCCCACCCAAATCCAGCCACTCCTCTTTACCCCGTGGCCAGAGAGACCCCTGCCCCCGTGGGGTACAGACCCCCCCATGCCATGGGGTGTTGCTGATGAGTTGTGGCCCCTTTCCCCCAGGAGGCACCAGCCGGAATCTGGCCCCTCAGACCCTGCAGCCGGCTGGCAGCCGGGCTCGGACTCCTGGGGGTGGCAGGCACGTTTTCAAGAGCTTGGGCAGGGGAGGTTCCCCCCGCAGGATCCAGAGGGCCCAGGTTCATGCCCTGCTGCCCCCGGGGTGTAACTGGAGCCACGTGGGAATTCTTTGTAATAGCTGTATGCAGCCTTGGCCTGCCTCAGTTTCCCTCGGGGCATGGCACTGCTGCCCAATGGGCTGATACTCCTGGGAGAGCGCAGGGGTGGGGGGGCCACAGTGCTGTCTGGGGATGGACAGAGTCACTACAGAACCGGTCCAAATCTACAGAGGGGCCCACAGGGCAAGGAGATGCCAAGGCCTGACCGACCCCCACCGAGCAGGGGGCCGCCCGGCAGGACTTGGTTACAGAGCTGGCAGCCCAGGACAGGTGGCTGGGGAAGGGGCTCTTTGGAGGGACTCCGGCGCCTGGGGCGGGGAGACAAAGGGGACAACAGTGAGTGAACTCCGGGGCCGGGGCGGGCGCCGCTCGGCTGGCCCGGCGGGTACTGGCCCGTGGCTGCACTCCTGCCTCGCTGCGCTGACCTCGGCCTGTCAGACTGGCCAGGCGACTAGTTGACGGATCCCGGTTGGCACAGGCGGCCCGCGTGGCGGTGAACGCGCCCGGGAACTTTGCCCCCAGCAGGGCCCAGCACGGCCTCCCGCAGGCCTCGCTGCTGGGAGCACGGAGAGACGGGGCACTGGGGCCTTGGAGTGTGGAGGCCACAGGCGGGTCCCTAGGGAACTGGGGGTCCCTGGGGTCAGCCTGCATAGGGGTCCCGCCCCGGAGCCTGCTGACAGGCCAGGCACAGCCCAGACCCTGCAGCTCTGTGTCAGTGACCCACGGAGACTTCTGGGGTTCTCCACGGCCACCCCGGCACTGCGTAGAACGGGCTGCCTGGCCAGGGACAGGCCCCCCCTTCCCCAGGAAGCCCTGCCTTGGCCAGGGCAGGTGCAGGCCAGCGGGGTGAGCGGTGCCGGCTGGGGGGAGCTGGCCCAGCACTGCACCGGCCCCGGGACTGGCTCTGGGGCAGCTCGGGGGGTTAACAGGAATGCCCAAGCTGGGTAAAGGCCTGGTGCATCCTGGGGGAAGGAAGGGTCCATACACCCCCCCCCCACACCCCTGTCTGGGACACCCCGAAATGGCAACTGGGCCCTGGGTTGGAGCCTTTCCCCCCAGTGCCCTGGGTAGGGGTGTGATGGGCGCAGCAGGCCCATGTGGGTACCGCGGCACCCAACCCACACCAGGGACGCTGTCCTGGCAACTAGGCTGCACAGGTAAGGGAGGGGAGGCATCGCCATGGCAACGGCTGCACTGAAAGAGGGGAGCCATTGCCATGGTAACAAGGGATCCATCTAAGGCAGGGGAGAGGGGGCCATGGCGACGTGTGGGCGGGGAGCTGCCTCCATGACCAGCCGTGTCCAGTCTCCGTTGAATGCCCCTTGCAGGCCCGCCGGGGCTCGGGGGAGCGGGGGTCGTGCCTGCTATTGTGGGGTTGGCCCCACAGGCTCCCTGGGCTGGGGGGGGGGGACCCCAGCTGCAGCGAGAGCTGAGCGCAGGGTGGGCACTGCCAGGCGGTGCTGTGAGCTTGGGGCTGCCCCTTCAGGCCAGGGTCATATGGGGCAGGGAAGTGTCGCAGGACTCCCTCATCGCCCCCTCCACGGGCCTGTCCCCTCTCCAGCCTCCCACGCCCTTCTTATCCCTGATCTGCCTGCTCCCCATCCCCCAAGCTGCCGGGCCAGCCCGGCCCAGCGGGGCCAGGCCCAGCAGCTCCAAGGGACCCCACGCAGACGGAGACACCCCAAGCCCATAGCGGAGGCCGGCCCAGTGCTGCCGCAGGCAGCCCGGCTGGATGCCCCCCGGGGTCTCTGGAAAGTCTCGTTATCCACTGCAACGTCCAACGCTCTGACCATACCTGAGCGCTTGGCCTGAGTGAGACCCTGTGGCAGGGAGTTCCACCGGCTCAGTGTGGGTGGGGACAGAGGGATCCCTCCCCCAGCCTGGAGCGTGCGGCCTGCCTGCCCTGCGCGGGAGATGGAGAGTCTGCACCCAGCGCCCCGCTGCCCTGCGTCCTCGGCCCCGTGCGAAGGTCCCGGCCTGTCGTCCTGCTAGGGCAGGGGCCACCCTAGGCCTCAAACACTCTCAACGCCTGGTGTGACGAAGGGGGGGAGTTTCTTGTTTTTCCGTGTTTTTCCAATGGTTTGCATGCAGAGCGGGTGGGACTCAGTGTCCCTGGGTGTTACTGGTTTAACGAGGTGAGGGGAGAGGGAGTTTGTTGTTACAGAGGACCGGAGAGGGAACTTGGGACCCCGGCCAATGGCCTGGAGAATGGAGACCCCAGCGACTGGTGACCGTGAGGCCCAGCTCAGGAGTTGCAGCCGGTTCTGGCCAGTGGGAGGACAATGGGCTTGTGACGAACTGGGACTGTTCTTAATGTGGTCTTTGAATGCTGAGTGGGGAGTGTTGGCCTGGGAAGGTGGCAGGGGGGTTTGGCTGGGACAGTCTGCATTGGGGGATGGGAGACTGGCCTTGAGGGATGATACCTGAGCATGTAACATGAGAACCCAGGAGGGGGCTGGAGCCGGGTGACACCTCTGCCCGGGAAATGGACAAAGGCTGGGGGAGGAGCCGGGGGGAGGCTGAGTGAGAGACGCTGGAGAGAGTTAGGGTTTTGGAGCTGGCTGGTGAAATGGAGGAGGGCCCAGACGGGGCTCTGCACCCCCCCCCCCCGGGGCTGTGGTGTCCCTGGGGCCCCTAGATGGACCAAACTAAGGGGGTCCTGTTGTCTGTGCCTGCAAGACCTGTCTTGGGCCGTGTTCCTGTCGTCTAAATAAACCTTCTGCTTTACTGGCTGGCTGAGAGTCATGGTGAATCGCAGGAAGCCGGGGGTGCAGGGCCCTGAGTCCCCCATACTCCGTGACAGGGCTGCAAAGAGAGGACCCTGGTGACCTGACCAGCCGGTTCCAGCCAGAGGACAGAAGAGGGGAGCGGAGGCCCCAGTTTACGACCCTGTTTCCCTGGAGAGAAGACAATGGACAGAGGCGGGGCCTGGGGCCGGTGATCTCAGATGCCCAGCGGGGAGCAGGGGGGCTCTGGGCTGGAGAGGGGGAGCAGGCAGAGCCCACCTGGATGCAGAGAGACTGGGGTGTGCTGGGCTGAGGGAGGCCAGGTCTGAGGGTCAGAGAGTTTCCTGTGCTGTGTTCAACTCTCAATAAATCCTCCTGTGTTACGCTGGCTGAGAGTCACTCCGGGCTAGAGAACAGGGGGCATTGTCCCCTTCGGGGGTGGAGGCCCTGGGGGTTCAGAGCAAGGGGACTCCCTGAGGGGGCCCACGGCAGAGACAGACGTGCTAAGGCTCAGAGAAGTGCGGCTCCAGGAGGTGGAGGGGCCTGACCCCGAGAGAGAGTGGACCCCCGAGAAGGGCTGTCGCACTGAAAGGGGCACCCCCCTCCCACGGACCGCACGGGGCCACGAGTGGGCATGATCTGTGAGTCCGTGACACCTGGCTCCATCCGCAGCTCTGCTCACCCCGTTCCACAACAGCTCAGTCCCGAGTCTCCCGCGGTCCCTCAGTCATGGCGGGAGCAGGAATCCCATGCCCAGTACTAGGCACATGGGGGAGGGGTGGATCGTCACCCCGTTCCCTCTCTAATGCCCCGGGAGTATGAGTCCAACGCAGCAGTGCCAACAGCACGACCCCCCCCCAAGTGACTGACAGACCCAGGCCAGGACCCTCCCCTCGCCCCCCGAGCTGCCCCATAGGCCTGGAGTCAAACATCCCCCCACCTTGCCCAACGCCCCGTGGCAGACCCCCCCCGAGGCAGAGACGTGCCTGGGCCTGAGGCAGGCTGTGGCCGGTCCGGTGGGGGCCGCACTCACCGCGGTGAAGTTCTGGGCGGTGCAGTCGGTGCCGCGGAAGCTGCACTGGAGCAGCATCTCGGCCATGTCGTGGCCCGTGCGGTTGTAGAAGTCGGCCATGTCGAAGGGCTTGGCTTTGAAGTTGCGGAAGTTGGCCTTGTCCCGCAGGGCGGCCAGGAGCTGGGGCTCGGCCAGGTGGGGGCTGCGGATCTCGTAGCGGTCGCTGAGCAGGGCTAGCAGCTGGCCCACGTGGTACAGGTCGTTGCGGGTGATGCGGGAGAAGCGGAACTCGTTGAGGTTGCAGATGGTGATGGCGGGGAAGGTCAGGTTGGGCGCGGCCACCTCGTCCAGCTTGGTGACGTGCGGGTAGGAGAAGAAGTAGGTGACGCGCTCCATGCAGACCACCAGCAGGAGCCCCAGCGAGCCCAGGAAGAAGAGGGCCCAGAGCACGCGGCGCAGCGAGAGCGAGCCGTGCCGGAAGATGTGGCTGATGCCGTGCAGCGAGGAGTTGTTGGCGAAGACCTGGAGGCTGGAGAGCCGCTCGGCCCGCGCGCTGCCCTGCGAGCAGGCCCTCATGGTGGCTCCAGTCCCTGTCCCCGGCAGTGCCTCACGCCCCGGCGCCGAGCCGGGCGCCTGGGCTTCCCGCTGCCCTCCCTGGCCTGGGCTGCCCGCGGTGCCCGCCCATGCTCAGCTGTCAGGCAGCCGGGTCCCGGGCTCCCCCTGCACCCAGCGCGGCCAGAGCAGGACCCTGCTCCCACCAATCGCAGGCGCTGGCAACCGCAGCCCCGGATCACCACGGCGATGGAATGTGGCCTGGGACCCCGTCGCCAGGCTGCGCCCCCCCTCGCTGGCCACCCGCGCGGCAGCTGCTCAGCAGCCCATTGTGTGCCCGTCTCCGGGGCTGCCTGCCGGTGCAGCCTGCCGGCGCGATGGCTCCGGCTCCTTAGCAGTCTGCTGCTCCCCCGCCACTGAACATGCTCACACAGCCGCTCGACTCCCCAGCCTGAGCCAGCCCGTCCCCTCCCTGCCCCCCGCCGTCCCCAGGCCGAGCGCACAGCAGCCGGCACGGCCCCCCC